TGGCAAACGTGGGCGCTGTGTCACTACAAGGCGGAACGCGAAACGCCAGAAAGTGCAGGTGTTCACTCGAGAATGTAAACCCGCTCCGGCCACCACGTGACTCTTAATCTGATTCACTTAGTGGACTCTGGGAGCTGGGGGGGGGGGGTGATTACATACACACACACACGCACACACACACACACACACACACACACACACACACACACACACACACACACACACACACACACACACACACACACACACACACACACATACATACATACATACATACATACATACATACATACATACACATACACATACATACATACATACATATATACATAAATGCATACATACGCATATCCATATATACGTATATACATACATGCATACATACATACACATACATATATACGTATAAACCTACATACATAATACTGGTATTTATGTATATACAGTATACGCGCGCACATGAACGTGCAGACAGAGTTCACCTGAACACTCGACAGTGTGTATCCTGGAAAAGGCCAAGAGCTACAGTCGTACCTGGTATATGTAAAAAAGAAAACAAATGTGAATTAGAATGAATATTTTCAGCATACCAGAGGTGTATTTTACCGGTTTCGAATACATTTTCACCAGAAAGATATATTTTTTTCATTTCGAACGAAGATAGATAATTGAATCCAGTCAAATACATCTTTTGATATTGTTTAAGATGTAAACTCTCATTCATACCTTTCCTACATTTGTCAGCATGAGTACAGTCGAGTCGTACCAAGAATAAAATAATCCCATAAAAGCGACTTCTGCCTCCATGAAATAACCAGAAGCAGTTCTGTTCTAGTTCACAAATCTATTCAACAGAACGGACGCTGTACAGTGATAAACGATGCGGATATTTTGAAATCTCTACGAAGAAAACGCATTCCTGGATGGAAGCGGGGTCTGTTTTCAATCAGCTTATTGTAACACGGTACATATAAAAGCGTTATTTGGCTCGAAGGTCACGTATGAATATATAGGAAATTGTTACGTGGAGAGAGAGAGAAAGAAAGAAAGAAAGAAATGCATCCAGCCGACATGAACAATATGAACAACGCGAACCATTGTTTTATCGGGTATGTGACTCAAGCCCAGCACCCCCTCGCTCTCCCCTTTGTTCCTCGCCGCCCCCGCTGTAAACACATCCCAGGCCTCTGCGTTTCCGTATGCGATAATAATAGAGAAAGAGGGAAGGCCGTTCGCGACTTAGTCATGCCCTTCCGAAAGCGGCCTTGGAGTACGGAATCCTATTTCGGTCCTTCGCCTCAACCTAGCAACGCCCCCACGTGTCTGTACGTGCCAACCTGCCCCCTTCCCCCCTCCCCCAGTCCATTACCCCTCCCCTCCCTATCCCCCCCCTCCTTCAACCTCTGACGTCAGAAGCCACGTGCACCGGTTTGTAAACAATGTTCCCTACATGCGTTTGCTTTGGAACACGGTGTAAACTCTCGGTACCATTATAGCCTCTCGTGTATATTCGGCGTTTAGCTTTAGGGGGAAAAAGGTGGAAATTAGGGAAAAAGAAGAAGGGGGAGGGAAATAGAGATAAGAATCAGTGCTAAGAGCAAGATATGAGACGTTTTCCGAGAGAAAGATAAGCGAAGGTTGCGTAGAGAAGTGAAAGAGAACGTTAAAAAAAAAGGTTAGGCAAAAGTTCCGAAGCGGTGAGTGAAGACCCCGTTACACCACGTTTCGGAAGCGTTTTATTGGCGTGTGCAGAAAACGTGTCGGGAATAATGAGGAATTACACTGTATGGCGTTTGTCAGTCGCTACGCCAATTTGAATTCATTTGATTCTGTTCCTGGACAATGTATAAACAAAGAGCACATTTCTTAAAGACCGGAATGATAACAAAGAAAGAAAGAATAACTATCACTGCATCAAATCCGTTATAAACATTCTAGGACACGAAATATAACGGGATCGCCTTTCCGGTGGAAATCCTCACGGCCTTGGGCGGAAAAAGGACTCGAGATAGTTCAGAAGAGAAATTTTAAATCTCGGGTTTGATAAGTTGCTCGGAAGATATAGACGTGCACACACACACACACACACACACACACACACACACACACACACACACACACACACACACACACACACACACACACACACACACACACACGCAGTCATATATATATATATATATATATATATATATATATATATATATATATATATATATATATATATATTATCATCATCATGCATACACACATACATACATACATACTACTTATACATATACATACATACAAACAGATATACACCACAAACACACTTGCATATATATATATATATATATATATATATATATATATATATATATATATATTATATATATATATATATCATACATTTATACATATATATACATACGTACATACATTATATGTATATATATATATATATATATATATTGTGTATATATATTTATTTATAAACATATTCATACATATGTAGACGTCCTACAGCACTTTATTTTGTGTAATAGTAAAAGGAGAAAGAAAACTTATGTCCGATTTTCAGTTTGCATAGCACAGCTAAAAGCTTTGAGATGGAAACAATGTGAATTTAGAAATGACACGAACGAAAAATAAGTAAAGGAAAAATACCAAAAAACAGGAGACACCTTCATGTTCTCCTCCTCTTCCTCTCCTCCTCCTCCTCCTCCTCCTCCTCCTCCTCCCCTCCCCTCTTAATCCTCCCATTGCCCCTACTCCTTCCCCTCCCTCATTCTTCCCTATCGTCCTTCGCTTCCTTCCCTTCTTCTTCATCCCCCCTCCCCCCTCCCCCCACACATAGGGAGGGTATCGACCGTCAGCGGAATCCCTCCCAGCGTGACGACCATTCCCCTCCCCCTCTCTCTCTCTCTCTCACCTGCGGTTATAAACTCGACAAGAGCACCGCTATCCCACCCACGCTCTTGGGGAGGGGGGGTGAAGGGGAAGTATGGAGGGGGGGAGGAGGGAGACGACGACGAGGAGAGGGGGGAAGTAGAGAAGGGGAAAGAGGAGGGAGAAGATGATTAAGATGAAGAGGAGGAGAACGATGTTTGATGGGAAGCGGCGTGTCCGAGACGTGCACAGAGGCGTTGCCATTTACTTCCTCTGCGGGCGCTGGTCGTGGCCGGAAACTCTGGTTCGGGTGACGCAACTGGCCGGTGATAGCGGGCGGTTCGCTCGGGAAATGATGCGTCTCCGAGGCTGATACGGTTGTTAATGTTGCTACTGGGATGCATGCGTGATTGTTGATGAGTCTGTATGGATTGTATGGAGTCTTTTCTTCTTTTTCATTTTTTTTCTCTCTCTCCTTTCGTTGTGCGGGTGTGTACATGTCTGTGAGTGAAGTGGACGGGTTGGGGACTATGAACAAGGGGAGTGATAGTTTTTTTTTCTCTTCTTTTCTTTTATTTGGATGGGGCGTACTATTTATAAAGGTATTATTGTCTCAATTGTACATGTGTCCCAATGAATAGCAAAAGTATCAAATAAACCATCTATTTCATACAAAAAGTTTTAGTCATTCGAACCGGAAGGAAAAGAAATTTTAAGAATATTTAATTCTGATGATATTAACAACAGTAATAATAACAACACTAATGATAATATGATGTTGGGAAAAAGACGCACATGCCACTTGTTAACAATAGAAAATATGTCTCGAACCCCAAACTGGACAATCCAACCCTGAGACCCAAATGCACAAACGTCTTGAAGAACTTTCCTGACCGTCTCCCCTTCCCCAGGTAAAAGTCGAAGAGAGTGGCAGCGAAGAGCAGACCGTCTTCTCGTCCCAGCCTGCTTCTCAGACTGACTCCCCGGTGCCTCCAAGGAGTGACTCTGGGTGTGAGGTTCACCCAGGGCCTTATACCCCCTCCCAGAGCCCCCTCCTCCCTCGCCTCCACCCGCACACCCACTCACCCACACACCTTTACTCTCCCACGCAGTCACCCGGGCCCAGCAGGCATGTGTCGGGATTCTCGTCTCCATACAGGTGGGTTACATGAGGATTTTTTTTACATCAGTTTCCATACATGTGTTTGCAATGGATATATATTTTTCTTTGTGTTTTTTCCATACAGGTGAGTTGAATCATTTTCTTATTTATATTTTGGAAGTATACTTTTTTTTTTTAATAAAATCTAGATTTCCTTTTTTTAGATAACTACTTCTATACAGGTTGCTTGGAATAATCTTTATCTGCTTTAAGTTTCCTTTTTAATGTTCCAATTTCATATAGACTTTTTGAACAAATACACATTTTCTTAAAGTTTTCACATTTCAATTCAATTTGTTTTAATGAATATGTATTTCCTTTTTTCTTTGGTTAGAATCATTATCCACACCAAAATTCTTCTTTCTTAAGAGAACCTTTAAGCCTCCTCCACACACCCCAGTTTGTTAAATAATGTCAGTGTTGCAAAATGTAAGTCAGGAAAATGATGAAATACAAGTCAGCAAGAGATTATTCCCTCAGACCAAACACTTTGCTCCTCACATCAAAGGAAGTGATTATTATTAGTTTTTATTGTATTTTATTTTATTGTTTCAATAGAATATGCCCACAATTAAGAAGAATATCATCCAAAAATTCATCATATATATTATTTCCTTCCTATATTAGTCATTTTTGCCAAACCTCTGCACTCCTTTAATGGTCATTTTTGCCACACCCCTGCACCTTCTTTAGCCCATATAACATACCCCAGAATTGATGTTTTAGGGTATCATATTTCTGTTTCTTCTTATTTTTTCTCAATTTTTTTGTTCCCATTTACATATAGGCTAGTCCAAGACTGTTTGTTGAAGAATATAGTTGTGATTGTAACACTTTTTTCTTTATATTTTTTTAGTTTGATTTATTCCTTTCATCTATATAGAGGAGTTATTTTTTTCTCTGCATTTTCTTTATTTTCACATTTCTAATAAGTTGGTTTTAAAGGATACATTTCTTTTAATATTTTTTCATATAGTTTCTCTCATCCCATTTTTGAGTCTTCTTCTTTTTCTTTTTTCTTCTTCTGCCTGTTTCAGGTCTTAAATGATGAGCAATTACTGTGAACTGAGAAATATCATGATTAATATTGTTGAACTCGAGTTACATTTTCTAAAACAATCTCTGTTGCTGTGTATTTTATCTCTTCATGCTAGATTATAAATTCTAGTGAATTCATAATCTAGCATTAGTATAAAGAAACATGAAAAAACTGCTGAATTTGTCCTATCAGTTATTTGCTTGTAACATAAATGTTTTCCAAGAATTCATAAAACTGTGCCCTTTGTTTCATATCCTTGTAATTTTATTCCAGACAGGTTATTAAGAACATTTGACTTATGTTTACTGTATTCAAGGTCTTTGATGTTAACTGAATATGAACAAAAAGTGACTAGGGTTTCTTATTATGTTTTATGGTGAAAACTATTTTATCATAAGGTATTTTAGTTTATTTAGGTAATATGCCTGACATGCTTAACATTCTGTAAACTGTTTTTGTGACTGCAGTATTATAGTTTTGTGTTGTATAAACATGTTTACATATTTGAAAAGGCACTAGAATAAATATATAGATAAGCTGTATGCAAGTACCAATGCATCTTTATGCATAAAAATCAACTGCCCCAAAGATTATTCATTACAAAAGAATATTAAAGTATGAAATGGAGGCTTTTGTTGAACAACTAGCAAATGATAGGTAATAGAAGATAATAGTATGATAAATAAAGAAACCTCTTCTCTCTTCAACAGCCACACACCATCAACAGGACTCAGTCGCAATAACAGTGATGCGTCCCAGTATGGCGGCTCTTACAATAGTTACTCTTCTGCTCCATCACCCATTTCTCCTACACACTACTCTCCTTCACAGGTAAGTTTTTGCTTGTGTAGGGGTACCTGAATAACGTGTATAATTGTGAGACTGGAAAATCAACCATTGTTATAAATAATAGTTTTACAATCATTTATTGAAGTGAAAGAATTATTGTATACTCTAATAAGGAAGGTTGGTTATTGTGTAAGCATATTACTCTCTAAATATTGAATGTAACTAAAAACCTTTGCTGTATATTAGGAATAGTCAGGTACCAAGTAATAGCATATCTATAAAGAAAAAAAATCCACATACTAGCACAGAACACAAGTATATATACATTTAATTGATACTCTCCTCATAAAGAAATTTAACTTTTATCTATTCTTCCGCAGTCGCCCATCCAGCAACGCCATATCACCTACCAAATGCCACCTCATCAGTCCCCCAACCTGGGCCGCGTTCCAAGCCACACTAGCCATCCCAGCCAGTACCCAGGAGCTGGAGGTCTTTACAGCGCGCCTTTAGATCTACGAGAGTCCCACAATCTTGGAGGTCACCCAGATTCTTCGAAGGAAGTCAAGGAGGATGAGCGACTGGCAGCTGACCTATCACAACATTCAGTGATTGCTGCCCAGTCTGGCATAACAAGGCAACAGCTCATCAACAGGTATGCAAATTACTAATTACTGGCAAAAGTTGAGGTAAAATTGGACAGATCTGGTTTAGGAAATTGTGGCAGTTTTTTTCCTCCCCAGATACTGTACATGTTTGGTTTGACCAAGAAGTATATATATATCTTTATCTATATCTCTCTCTATAAATATATATGTATTTATTTATTTATTTATTTAGACATTTACACATTTAGCCACACTTCATATAATAATTTGACATTCCATATGCATACATATGCTCAATATTTACAATATTTTTTTCTCTTAAACAGCCCATGTCCCATCTGTGGAGATAAAATCTCAGGCTTCCACTATGGCATCTTTTCATGTGAATCATGTAAAGGATTTTTCAAGCGGACAGTACAGAACAAGAAGAACTACGTTTGCATGCGCGGTTCCTCTTGTCCAATCACTATCAGTACAAGGAAGAAATGTCCTGGCTGTAGATTTGAAAAGTGTCTTTGCATGGGCATGAAACTGGAAGGTATAATAATTATTTTTTATTACTATTAGGCTACTAATTTATACAGGAAATATTTTGTGAATATTTGTGTGACATTATGAGATGAAATAGCATCCTCCTCCAGGAAATAGTAGCTATGGCTCTTGTATTTGATTTTGTAATAAGTTGATTTCATAGCTTTCAAATATTTCACTTTTCTCTTTTGCATCTATTTTAAATCCAAATTGTTTAATCTAATGCAAATTTCTGTCTTTATTCTACTTTACTAATCTCACAATCTCTTTCTCTCTCAAACAGCCATCCGTGAAGACCGAACACGAGGTGGGCGTAGTACATATCAGTGTGCACCATATCCTCTTCCACCATCCTTGGTCACACCTCAACCATCTACCCACCATCTAGACCAACAAAGGCTTCCAGATGCTTCTGCTGTCAAAGCTGAACCATCAGACAGCGAAGAGATTAAACCATCACCACCTCCAGAGAAGCCCCCCATCCCTCTGCTCTTACAGGTAGGATTTTGCATAATTACCCCTTTTGGTGTCTGTTTGCGTACATTTATTTGTTGTAGTTAAGGCAGTATTTAATTGTCTCTAGTAGTAAAAGTTAAATGAAAGATCTGTCAGGTTGCAGTTGGGTAATTTTAAATCTTCTGATTTCAAGCAGGATATGTGATGATTTCTTCCTTATAGCTAACTACTTATCATGTATCTCATTGTCATTAGTATGATAAATATATATTTGATTGTAACATGTACCAGAATCCTATGATTAACCTAAACATATAATTTCTATACAAAGTTCTTGATATTTAAAAACCTTTCTTAACAGCAAATCCATGATGTTGAACACCTATGGCACTGCAGTGAGAGTGAAATGGCACAACTTCGTCAGTCTGAGCAAGCCGCAAGGGAAGCCATGGAAAACAACTCTCCCAACTTCCTGAATAATCTGTGCACCATTGCTGACCACAGACTGTATAAGATTGTTAAATGGTGCAAGTCTCTACCATTGTTCAGGCACATTACAGTAAGTTTCCATATTAGGAAATTTGCAATTGTATCTGAATGATTGCAAGGAATATATAATGTCAACTTAGTGTATTGCATTTATAATTGAAGGTACATTAGTATATTGTATGTTATCATGACCTAAAAATGTCAGTCATTTCTGAATTGTCAAGGAAAGTATTCACATTGAGAGTATTAATATTGGTAGAAATAAAATTAGAATTCACCAAATGGAATCCAAGATAAATGATTGTTTACATTGTCTGTTGCTATCATTTTCCTTTACTTATTAGTTATTTGGTGTTAACAAAGATTTGATGATGTATTGTGAATTTATTAGTGATTATATATTGTGTTTCTTATCAGATTGATGATCAGATCTGCCTGCTGATCAACTCCTGGTGTGAGCTCCTCCTCCTGTCCTGTTGCTTCCGTTCCATGGAGTCCCCAGGCGAGATCCGGGTCAGTTCGGGTCGTACTATGACCTTAGAGCAGGCTGAGGTCATGGGCATCGGACCCTGTATTGAACGCATGCTCAACTTGACCCAACAGCTGCGTCGGCTCCAGGTCGACAAATATGAGTATATGGCCATGAAGGTCATTGTTCTTTTATACTCAGGTGAGAATAATACTGATGCAGAGATCAATATGCAAGCTGTCTTATGAATATTGTAACTAAGGCAATCTGAGTTAATTTACATGTTTATAAATATTTCTAAAAGCAGTATGTGTACTTTAAATATTTTACCATCTGTAGATACAAATTATTAATAACACAGAGATTACTTATTATGATCAAAAGAACAGTTTCACATCACAAAGCTCAAGGCAGTTGGAAAATACAGGACTTTTTTTGAAGGACTGATCTCACTCTTCCCTCATCAGTAGACGTGTCTGGGCTTGAGGATGGTGAGAAAGTGCGTTACTCTCAAGAGAAAGTGGTCCAAGCGCTGCAAGAGTATACACTCTCACACTACCCACACCTGCCGCCTAAGTTTGGGGAACTTCTCCTCCGCATCCCTGAACTCCAACGCACGTGTCAGGTGAGTAGCTAAAGCTTTCTTTTTTCTTCTTTTTCTTCTTCTTCCTTTCTTTCTATCTTCAGCATTCATGTACACTGTGCAAAGGAAAGAAGTTATAGGATGCATATCGAAGAATTATATGAATTATTCTTGGTTAGAATCAGTATTTCAAAGTTGATCTCACACAGTGAAATAATACTACTCATACAACAAAATCCTTCTTTTTTGCAATGATTAAAGTTTCCATCCTAATGCTTATAAATTTATTTCATCCTTTCTCCCACATATTTATATGTGCACACAAAGTTCTGCACAGTTAAAATGCCGTTTTAACTCCCTTTCTTCCTTTCAGGCGAGTAAGGAAATGCTCTCTATGAAGAAGAAGGAGGGAGATGTGCCAAGTTTCAATTTTCTCTTTGAGCTGTTAAGAGGGGACCATTAGTTAAGGCAAGTTACACTTTCTAGTCTTTTGTTATTTACTTTCCAATTTGCTTAATGACTGTGAATACAATTCAGATTTTACCTGCAAATAAATTGAGGAGTTTTATGATTGTATTTGTTTAATTTCTTCATTGTTTTGTAAGATGAAATTGACTGAAAAATATAAATTAATATAAAAGCAGAAACAGTAATGGTAATACAAAAGCAGAAAAGATCAGATGTAATTAATTTTGTTATCTAAATATATGCATAGCTACTATGTTATGCCACATATTGTATATGACTAGTAATAGGATGCTGAGAGTGGTTAGAATTTTATAGGAAATATGTTTTTGCCCATTTATCAAATGTACTTTTTCTAGGTATACTCTTTGAACACCAAGATGTAACTTCTATAGTCGCACAGCAAAAAGTAACTGAATATTTTTCCACAGGTTGGAGTACAACCTCGTGTTCAGCGTCAGTTGCTGCATCTCCCTCAGGTATGCGTCGTTGCTTCAGGCTCACAATGTGCGTACAAATGGCGTGATCAGGGCAAAAATAAAAGAAAAGGAAGAAAAAAAAAGATAAAAAAGGAGGTAATGACCAGTTTGCCATGACTACAAAATATGGACCTGCAGTTTGTGACTCTGAAGGGATGACATTCCCATGGCTGTGACAAGTGGACGTCTCTAACTCATCCCACCTTATGTACTCATTCATTGTCACACAGAGTAGAACCAAGAAGATGGAATCACCTAGCAAGTTTTAAATTTGGAAGGGGCAACTCAAGGACATCTTTTTTTATTTTTTAATATATAATTTATATATATAGATATATATATTATATCTAACAAACCTCTTAACAACCAAATGTATTAGAATTATAATGTGAGTCCGCTGGGTAGAGTAGTAAAATGAAAATATAAGAAATCTGATAATGTGCGACATGAGTTACCTTTCGCTGAGTCATTGCGTCCACCGCCAATATACCTGATGGGAGGTTACCAGAGGCTGTGGCATGGACTCTTAAGCTATAAGCTGTCTTCCATGGATATACTCTCAGAAGCAGTATTTTTTATATTTTCTCCCATGCCATGTGTCCAGCAATGCCAGTTGCCACTGATACGACTAATATATTTTCTTGTTACCTGAATGTCCAAAGAAATTTCATGTTTAATTTGACCAAGTGTTTGTGTACGTTTGCATATTTCACTATATAGCAAGTTTGTGCACTTTTATTTTAGTATTTATGGTTTGTCTCTGCTCTCTCTCACAAATGGAAAGAGTCAGAAGATTTTTACCTTTGTTAACTCTTAATTGTTCTTAAATTTGTATTTCAAAGAATTTTATAGCTCAGTTTTCAGTCTGCTGGTTAGTATCATTGAGGCTATACTAAGAAAATATAATAGTGATATAACATGTGGCAACATAGGCAGAGCAGCAGCGGTTGTAGAGGTGCCAGAAGCTGCCACAGACCAGGATTCTGTAAAACCAAATGCACAAAAGAAGAAACCTACAACAGGTTATCTTAGCAAAGCAATAGGTATCATCAGAATCAGACACTTGAATGGAATATGTCTTGACAGATGAGTGACAGTTCCAGACACCGACTGGTCAGTCACCTGTCAAAGTTATGCCATTTAAAGTGAACATGTTAAAAAAAAGAAAAAAGAAAAGAAGGAGATCCATAACAAAAAAAAAGAAGAAAAAAAATCATTAGCTCCTAGAAGCCCACCAATGTGCATATCATTCTGTGGTGTTGGAGAATTCTGGTCTAGATTTGGCTCTGTGAATCTGTGACAATTCCACCGTGCTGGGGAGTTGTGCAACATGATCACAAGGGGAGGCTGTCCAAGGGCATCTGGAGTGGCTGTGGGACTTCATGTCTACGCTACCAGACATTCAAAACCTCCTGTAATGTCATGTTATCAGAAAGATGAGATAGTTGACTCTTTTTTTTTCTATTTTTTCATATAGATTTTAAAATCATGTCATTTATTATATTTTTGATAACTTGGTGGTAATTGAAGCTACCCTGCACCACTGGCCCAGTCGTGACACCAATACTCCCACCACAAAGTACCTGCCAGCCAGCAACTAACCAAGTAGGGCGTTGTGGTACCGTAGAGTTATTTACAATAAATTTTTACAGTATTCTCAATTTCTTCTCATTCTCTATATTTATACAGATCTTTTCATCATCTACCTCTGCTAACCTAATTTGTTATCAACTGATATTTCTAGCTGAATTGTTGTTTCCTTGTTATATATATCTATATCATTTTTATGTGAAGTATAGAATTTATGATGCTGAAAAATCCTTGTTCTTAATTTTTCTCTTTAACTCTACGATTCCACGATGTCAAACATGAAGAGCTACGAAAACTTGACTGTCTTCTGTGATGATACTTTTGCACTGAGCTCCGTGGTACTAAATTGTCTGTGGTACTTTAAAAGGTACCATTAGATAAAACAGAAGTGAGATAGGAGCAAAGTGTAAACTTTTTTACTTGAATTTTTCTGTGGTATGTATTATAGGCTGTGGCCAATATCTGTAGCATTCTTTAAGGATGTATATCAGCTGAGATAGTTCCACCCCCAAAAAATTAATGTGCTCTGTCTCACCTAATTTGAATGTTAAGCAGTAACAGTTAAAATTTAGTATGGAACTACTCACAGGTATCTAAAGCTTTATAAAATGCCCAGAATTGGAGTCTATGACAAACTTTTTCTTTGCCCAGAAACTTTTTTCCAATGTCTTTCCAATTTCTATACTGTAGTAGCTCACAGTGCGTCGTTGTTTTGCCTCTCTTCCGTCTTGCGCTGTGCACAAGATTATTTGGGAAGAGACGAAGAGATGGTACTATCGAATTTAGTGTTCTATGTTTTCTACAGAAGAGATTTTTAATTTATTGCATTACATTTCCTGATATATTTTTTCTCAGTTTCACACCACTTTCATGAAGGCTGTTATTGGTAAACATTCCATTGATATCTAAGCTAATTATTACCCCTTTGGTAAACAAGATGTACTCTTGTGATATTATGTTAATGATGAGCAATTTTAGAGGACGCTGGGTTATTCCAAAGAACATAATAAGTGGCCTCATGAGAGTGGTGAGTGGGTCGGCCGCGAGATGTGGCGCGGGGACCCTCCCAACTCGCTTCCACCGGCAAGTCCTCAACCCTCAATATTAGAATGTCAAATTCTTTGCTGATATACATATATATACATATATACATGTACGTAATTTTTACTTTTAATTTTCAATGAGATCGTTATGGAGATCACAGTAACTTTGCAGTTTCATGTGTTTTTTAAGCTTCTCAAAAGAGGGTTGTGTTATGTGGGCGAGAGGGTGAGTGGTCTCAGGGATCCCCCATGCAGAACGCAGCAGAGCCGTCCAGGGTGCTGACATTGAGAGAGGCTAATGGGTGTATGTGAAAGCCGTCCGAGGGTGCATGAGCGGAACTCACCTCTCTTTTTCCCGATGCACTGAAACCTTGTTAATTCACACTTCATTTGCACTTTTTTTTCCCCTTTTTTTTTCTCTTCTTTTTTTCTTTTTTTTTTTAATAAAAGAAAGATGCACAAAACATGTGCCCCCATTAATTAGATGTAATATATTTTGATTGGTTATCATTTTGATCAAACATTTGAGATTAAAAAAAGAAGGAATTGAAGGATTTATGATTGACAAGTGTTCTGTGCACAACTCCACCGCAAGACGCCCATGCACCTCGGATGCCTATGCGCACCCATATCAGTCCACCCCGGCAAGCCAAATCACTAGTCCTTACACACTCTTTGTTTTTATTTTTTTTATTATTTTTTTCGGAGCATAACTCTCGAATAGAAATGCCAGGCTTGAAAGAGACTTGTGACACTCACCATCCAGTCACTTGATCCAAACCTGGATTTAATGGTATATTGGAATCTCTCGCCTCGTTGAATCTCAAAAGGTGATTTATTACAAAAAAAAAAGAAAGTATTTCTTGTGAAGAAATTACAAGTTAATGAAAGAAACCTACAAATCAAAATGAACTGTAATGTGTGCTACGGAGGAATTTTCATAAAGTTGGTCGTTTGTATTTTTGGTATCATGTACATAGTTGTTGTCTACTGGAGCAAGTACTTAGTATTTTAAGGAAACTTTTAATAAATATACTTAAATATATGTTGTATTTCTTTACTTTATGCTTAGGCAGTACATATATCCTGTTATATATGTAATATATTATGAAATATTTGGCATTACAGATGGTTTTATATTTTGTTGAAAGAGATTAAATTCATAATTATAAAATTGTGAACTGCTCTCAATTTTTCTGTTTCAAGAAGGAATGTATCTATATGGAAATATGTAATAAAAACATGATGTACTATGATAAAAGTAAAAGTAATTTCTCTTTGGTATATAACTCTTATTTTTAATAAATGTAAAATCTAAAACAAAAAGAAAAAGCAAGTAAAACAAGATTATGAAATAAATTTCTGTAATGTGATAAATGGATGCCATGACAATAAATTTTCGGTTTAAAGAAATAGGAACATATTTATTGTAATTAATATGATCAGAAAAAAATATCCAATAGATTAATGAAAATGGCTGAACTATAATTATTCTGACATACATATGAAGATGTGTTTATCATATTGAGACATTTATCAAATGAAAGGTATAGAAAAAATGAAAATAAAGAACTTCAAACTTCAATTAAGATTAAAAGGAAAATGAGATTATGTCCCATACAATTTATCATAATTCTCATATACTATGGCTACATGTGAACAAGCAGCAAACTATACTGTAGACAAGAATGAGAAAATCTTAATGGGCAATAAGATTAAGAGCTGTAGAATGATAAGCATCAGTCAATAATTCATGTTTAGCAATTATTTTCTATATAATCAAATATCAGAAGAAATTCACATGTCTTCACAGATTTTAGGATCATATATTAATGAGCACCTGCAAACATGTATGTATGAAAGGATCATATATACACTCTGTGCATACATAAATATATATATACATGCATACCTATATACACGGATATATTAATTCATACATATATGTGCATGTAAAATTGTGTGCAGATTTCAAGTTACTCAGTAAACATGAGAAGAAATTCATATATATTTACGTACATTTTTTATTTATTTATCCATTTATTCATACATATAAGGAAATATATGTACATGTGGAAAAAACTGGACCTAGTACGTAACTTGGAATGAATCGATCTAATGGTAATCCTCTCTCTTCTCTTCTTCTTCCTCTCCTGGTCTGCCATTCGGCGGTCTCTTCCATCTCGTCGCTCTCTGCGCTCTACTGAACGAGCTCTGTTGCGCGCGACGATCGTCGATGCCATTGCGTCGCTCTCTCGCTCGAGTCCCGGTCTCTCTCGCATCATGACCTCTCTCGCGCTCTACCCACAGTCTCTCTTCGCGCGATGCCTCTCTACCGCTTCTGTGTCCGCGTCTCTCGTCTCAAATCCTCTCTCGTCGGTTCATCTCTCCTGTCTCTATCTCCGTACCTCTCCGCGTCGTCATCT